ATTATATTTGTAAGATTTTCAGTAAATTTCTTCCATGCAACCAACGGATTAGCTTCTTCGTCATAAGAAACCCACTGAGCAGAGAGCGCCAAGTTATTCAACAGTGTGTAGTCTATGATAGCACAAGGCAGGCGGTGGGTAGCCGTGAATCTGTGTAATACAATCAAAATTCAAAATGCAGTTTGAAAAGCGTATTATAAGTTACTTTGAATTGAATTTGGCACATTTTACCAATTATTTTAAATGTATTTAGTGTTCTTTATCTCGTTCCCACACCTCATAGAAAGTCCAGAGCTAACAAACTAGCCGATGATAAAGCTAGAAATGTGTTCACTGCAGACAGCCGCAAGACAGTGTTTCACACACAAAATAGCTTGGTCATTGAATGTTGTCTTTTCATTCAGTGAACAGCACACACCATATGTTCCCATTTGATATGATCACCAAAAAGATGATCAATTATAAACAGCTTTTGATCGTCAATGAAGTGATGCAAGAAAGGCTTTCGAACACAACAATTGAAACTGGAATGAAATATGACTTCCTATTTTTGAAAGTCTGGATGTTACCGACTGACTTGAGTCACTAAACTCACACACACCTAACCATAATGCAAAATAAAAAAGTAATAAACGATTTCAAATTTCACTATGATTGTTAAAGTGGAAAATGAAGGTGATCCGGGCTGAATATCGAAGAAGCCGATTGAAATTTTTCGTGTACCATTGACGTTGCGTGTCTATCGATCCGATCGATCACCGGCACATGCAAGCGTGTTGTTGACCGTCGGACACTTGATTCAATTAAAGCCATTGGTGTTCACATGCACGAATACACAAATACACGGAGCACAGCCTAGCTAGGAAAGTATAGTGCAAGTAATATTCTTGGGTTTGACCTGACGAATTCCATTTCGATGTTCAATCTTACTCGCATCGAGTGATCGGGCTATGTGAGGATAAACGTTCACTGTGTACTCAGTTACCCCGATTATCGGAAGTACCTAGAACGTGAAGGGGGTAATCATATGGTATGAATAATGAGTATCGTTTAAGAAGATTCTATAGACTATTGAGACATGTTTCATAGCTCACGCTCACGAAAAATATATATCTATTTTAACTTTATTCAGGAGATGTAAAACCTAATTTTAGTCGGCTTATGTATTTTAGCTAGTTTTGAAGGAAAATGAAAAGCATAAAAGTAAGTAATGGGTTGCTATTTTGCGGAGTAAAAGCTAATTGGAGAAAATAACCAAAAATAAATCATTTTTCGAAGGTATTTGTAAGGTTGCAAATTCACAAATGTATCAAGTAAAAGATGATTGGAGGTTGCTTCCGAATCGAACTTCCTAATGCGGTTCACTTAGTCCAAATTAATTTCCATCTTATTTTGTTCATTCACTTTGTTTGAGATCATGCTCAGACATTTGATTCCAGTTTATACGCCCGACTGAGTTATAATTACTTGTTTTCATTTTATTTTTATTCTCAATTCACTTGTATTCATTGAATATACAATGCTACAATTTCCAGTAACGAAGAAGCGGTTGCTGGACAAATGCGGTTTCAGTGTACTACTAAGTTTGCTGGATAGTGGAAGTTTAGCGTGAAAGCTACTGTCCTGCAAAATGAATTGGAGAGATTGAATGTTAGCTGATCTGTTGATATCCGTTCACTGGGAACTTCGTTTTTTTCCTTTTGCGTATTAAATGAAAGAAATAAAGGACTGGTCATTGAGGATGCCTTACGTCACCATTGCATTACAAGCAGGAGTATTAAGAATTTTGATGTGGTGTGTAAATCTGTTATGTGAGTTGCAACAGTTCTTAGCGCACTCGGAAACGCTGAACGACCTTTTGCTAATATTGAGAATAAATATTTTCCATCCCAATATATGTGAGATTGTAAGTAATACGTAATTTTCCATTTCTCTCCCAGGAATACGGAAGAGTAACACAGGTCCAATTCGTGTGAGGGAAGACAGCAGTGAACAGAACCAACTAGTATCTGTTTCCACCGAGCACTTACAGGCATGCCCTATCAGGCCAGACGGAAACCGCGATCGACGACAATCAAAATCCGCGCTGTCCTGTTTCTCTTTATGTCATCGTCTGCGTAAACGGTATTCTAAAAGTGAACGTGCAACCGGGCACGATCACGGATCCGCCCGACCGACTGCGGATTGGCAAACGTCTAAAGAACCCACCCACGTCACAGTAGTCCGGGAACCGCTACCCGCACCATTGAAAGAAAACTCCGGCCAGCAACCAAAACCCGTTTTAAAGGGGATAACGAAACAAATCAAACCCGCGGTTTCATCCGAGACACAAATATCCACCCTGACAGATTCCCACAGAAAGAATCGATCAAAACCGTCTGGTGATATGCCGGAAACCACTTCAATGACCTCGGACATATCGACACCTCGGTCGCGAAACACGATTGAAACCAATGATGCTGATAACTCGATGGATTCACAAATCGGACTGTTGTCCTCGGTGAAAAATCTGCAAACTACCAAAGGCGATGGTTGTTTTGAGAGAGTAAACGTGAACGACGAGAAGGGTCTCAGGTATGCTGTGGAACATTGCGAACGAAGGTTAGTGTCGCATTGCTGAAAGCAAATTGTCTGATTTGATTTTAACTTTATGCATAAAATTTTATCCGAATAAGTGAGAACAGAAGTCGGTGAGAAGAAAATGCAGCGTAGAGATACACTAAAAATTTCAGTTTCTTGCGGTTGTTTATTTTACACATGGCTCTGTTTGAATTTGGGTATGTTAAACATTTGATACCCCGGCCGGGGACTTCATTACTGAGCCCTAGATGTTGTGTGTTTGAACCTGGGTTATTCCGTACTTACAGTAGTTTTGCACAGACTGTCCATAATTGGTTACTGCCGTCTTCCTGGAAAACCCCATAATTTTCTATACACAAGAGAATAAAATGAGATTGAATCAGTTAAAATATTCGTGTGAAGCAGCCAGTAAGCATCCGTTATCAAGTACCGTGGCGAATAAACAAACCTTAGGTATTGGAAAAATTCAGCACTCTCTCAGTGGGGTGGCTGCAATTTGTGCGGCGGTGGAGGTGGATTCCAGCGTTAGAATATCGTGTAATGAGATCTTATCAAGAAGTGATTTCTTTTTCAAAGAATATATACATGAACAGATGTAACCAGTTCGAGGAAATTGTTCGGTAAAATTTTGACTTCGGTGATTTGGAAAATTAAATTGCAAAATCCGTATTTGTGCGAGGAAAAAATGTTCACTTAGGTTCGTTGAACAAGCCAGTGATGTTGCCTGCAAGTAAAGTTTACCCTTAATTAAATTTCATAACCAAGGAACAAACATAAGCTTCTATCATACATCTTGGATCGGTGGCTGTCTGTACACATGCGTATGGCGCAGTTTACGTCATCCCTTTCACTGACGGTTCTCGTACGCTTTTGCTATCCTGCTAGCTGTATCCACAAGTGACTTTGATACCCCTTGATTCAGGCTGGTATAGTACGCCTCACTGACTGGATGCGATCACCAATCTCAGAGAACTAGAATGCGTGGCGAAAAAAACGCGAGAGTTATAGTTTTAGTCAGTTTTAAGTAAACTTCAGTGGAACGTTAGCGTATAGTATTTACTTATTTGAAACTATTTTTACCAACTTCCTTTGGGCATACACTTAAAATTCGTTTCTTCAAATCTGATGCCATTAGAATATTTTATTGTGTTCCATTCTACTGGCATTGACCTTAACAGTTTAACTTGCCTTTAGGGCATGTACAAAAATCCGGGCGAACAAGTTCATCTCTGTACTGGGCTATGATGTTCATTATCTAAGGACGATTTTTGAGTCACTTTCTCAATCAAATGACAGCAAGGGAGACAGGGAGAGCTATCAATTGCCTTATCAGCCCACAGCCATTTTAATTTCTTCCGATTGACAGATACATGATGCGAATGCTCTGTACCCAGAAAGCACAGTCGCTGTAGGAAATGTTTAGAGGGGTCGAAATCGGTCTTGCGTTAAATGACCTCAAATTGCTTGTATATATCTATCTATAGTTGACAGACTGCTTCATCGAGACCTAACCTCACGTGCTTCAATGAGGTAACTATCAGATAGGATATTATAATTTAAGGTAGCAAAATAACACGTCTCGCGATCTTTAAACACTGCCCAAACGTTTATTAAACGTAACATTGTACATTAGATTAATGTAATCGGCCCTTTGCCATCCAGCTAAGTAATTATGTCCTGTATCGCTCCTGAAATATCGTATTGGCTAGGGCATTACTTGAGTGTTCCACTTCATTGCATTCTCTGAGAAAAGGCTAACTAAATAAATAGTAAGTCATCGGAAAGTGTTGAAGCTTACCATCACGATCGTTTGAAGGTCGGTTTTGTGCTGGAATGCATTCAACCATCACTTTGTCAATAGGATGAATTGACCGCCTCTAGGAATATTTCTACTTGTATTTACTGGATCCACGTATGTGCCACTGCGTACCGTGATGCATTATCTCCCTTTCTATTATTTCTCGTTCAGCAACACTTGTAGGTTTTCGTAAAAGAACTGTTATTTGTCAAGCCTAACCAACCACAAAGCCATACATTGTTTGAAGGTTAACAGGCACACATGCTGATAGGTCGAGTGCTATAAATAGGAGATGGAGTGAGTTGAAATAAATTTGAAACAATGTAGACTGTTAGAATAGATGGAGGTGGAACAGCAAGGGATGTAGACGAAAGCAATTCATATTGCTTCCAACTCAGTTAGAAGAAACAGGTCACACAGAATATTAGGAATCGAGCACGGGTAGTGACTTGTAATACGTTAAGTATTTGTTGCTGATTAAGGGGAACGCAGATTTGGGCCAATATCTTGAAGACCGAAGTACACCGTACATTCACGTATCGAGTCCTGAACACGAGCGAGCGTAGAACTGTAACTATAAGTAAGTAAATTTTCGACGCATCTTTGATGAGTAGAAGATGAAACAAATAAAAAAGGTGAAAGTTCTCGTTCGAAAGGCCTAAGTCGGATTATTTCTATGTATGCCTGACTAAAAGTAATACAATCGACATAAACGAGATGCACCAAAAATGAAAGAAAAACTTTATTGAAACTTTCCAATAATCAGTTAAGTGGAATGATATCGGTTGGTCAAGTTGTGAAACATACGAATTAACTGAATTATTCAGAAACTGATTCCACTTCGAGTGAACCTTCCCGCATAATAAAACGACCTGAATCAAGACGTATTCAATAAACTGGTGAAAATACCTAGCAGTTGCTATTGTTTGTGCTCATATACAGGATTTGATGAATCCTACACGTGGTCACCGGGGCATCCTAGCGTTGTTCACTTGTCACTTGAACACATCCTGATTGCGTAACCACACTTCGTAAAACTTTACTGCCTATGTGTTGCTCAGAATATTGCTTACGAACTACAGACCATTTGCAAAATCACAGAAGAGATCGATCGCTGTACAAAAGCTTTGTGTCAGCGTCGAGTGCATTCATTCAGTTATCAGCATCACACAAGAGCCGTAAACATTTTGCAGTACTGGGAGAAATTGATATCCTTCTCACTATACTCCGCATCCGGAACTAAGTTGAATGTCTGTGTCATATCCCGAAAGAGTGTCGGACAGGTGATGGGAAACAAGAAGATTGGACTATACGTATTGTTTTAATCCTGAGCAAACGTTTCACCTGAATTTTCCACGACTGCCTGATATGAGTATTTTTTCTTCTTAACCTAAATCACTCTGTGGGGCAGTAAGTTAAAATAAAAAATTAACGCAGTTTGACTGAGCTGTCTGCACTGATACAATAGTTATAAAAAGGATGAGTGATTGCATTTATTATTTGGATTGGTAGCACAAAGTTGGGGATAGCAGTATCATTCATAAACTTATAAAAAATAGACATTAACGAATAGAAGTTAGTTAGGTGAAACTTAGACAGGTCAAATACGAGCGTGAAAATATAGCTTAATCTTTCGTATTTCAGCTGCATACAATGTGTGAATTTCCGCTGGAGAACAACAACGACAATAAAGAAATGACAAAAAGCGACAATCTTTGCTGTTTCTGGCCAAAATTAACCGGACTCCTTTAGGAAAAATGACCGACAGTACTAGAGAGTTATGCTTTTGTGGAGTTGACAGTGCATTTGGAAGTACCACCTGTTTCTTCTTTGATGGAAAACCGTTCAGAAAGTTCTGCTCATCGTTCGATCAATGAAAATTTGTTTTTAAACCTGGTGTACAGATCGATGATAGAATAAAATACGGATAGTGACACATTCAGTTTGATTAGCTCTCTAAGACCGGTCGTTAAAAGTCAAAGCTATTGTGGATTGTACTGTATGCAATCGGGATGCCGTTCACGTGTGTCTGAAAGGGAAATTTTTGAATTACGATTCACCTGGTTAGATATTTCATTTAAGTCACCACATGTTTCACTGTATCACTATATCCATGTGAGGAGCAAAAATGTTTTCTGGAACAAACAATCGTTCAAAGTTTATTCGATGGTAAGCACAGTAAAGAGGATCAATATTCTCAAGTCAATTGTATTTTGAAATCGTGACATGCATTTCAATAACATTTGTCCTACTTAGTTGATCCTTTTGTTAGGCTCAACTGATCGATTGATTTAAATTATTCATTACAACTGTCTAGATATCTCACCGTTAAAAAGCATACCGTTGTGTCTCACTAATCCAGTGACTGTTGAGTTGAGTAATTGACATAACATTATGTTGTGATATATTGAATGATAAGAACCTCAAAATCACTAGTATAAAATAATCACAAACACCATTGAATTTTGATTGAAACAGGTCGGTTAAAAATAGCGTCATAAAAACACACGTTTGAGGAGATTATAAAATAATGAGAGCAACCTGTTTTTGCAAAACCTGACACAATTTATTAAAACTTTTACACTCCCGGTTAGAACGCGGATGAGATAAGGGTGATTACTTTTAAGCATCCGAAATGCTTTCACCTAAACTATATAAGAAGGTATGTTATGAACGGTAAACATTGAAATATAGTTGAATGGTGTTTCACTGTGAACAGCAGTTTAGATGAACAGGACAGGAAACGCCATTATACGCTGGATTATTCTTTTTTTGTTAGGCAACAACCGAAGTACCCTGGGACTTGGTGTGATGAGCCACATGAACTAAACAGGACAATCGTATGAGTGCTCCTTTTTACAATGCGGTAGGCGGTGGAAATGTTCCAGATCGAATCTAAATCCCCTTTAGGAACAACTTTAACCGAAAACCAAGAGCACAACAAGCAATGATTCGTTCTGTTCAGCCCTAGATAGATGATAGCACACCTCTGGTACTGAAATGTTTCACACCTTGTTGAATGATACAGTTCCAGTTTAAAAGAATCTAGAAAACATATGATAGCATCAGGTGAGTCAATGAGATGTAATCGACATTTGTAAGTGTTTGCACTAACAGGATCAATAGGCCTCTTGAAATTTCCAAATGCGCAGAAAATTTCAGATGAACTTTACACAAAACCAAAATACTGAAATGAACTTTACCCGTAAATTACAAGGGTGAATGAAGGTGGTTTGATACAAACGTCTCTTGAGAATACAAAATGTCTCAAAGAAATGGATCATGAGTAAGCTTTAGCTCAGTCTGTCAGATGATTTGTACCAGGTAACTCAGACTTAAAATTTTTGTGAAAACCATCAATTTCCATGTTAGAGAATATTGCATCTATTTTTTCTATTAGATTAGAACGACTCTACGGACGATTAATTTGGCTCCGGAACACTGAAAGCCTGACAATTACAACTTCCACTCCGTCCACTATCGTTTCAAAATCGAACCGAGTCAAAAGCGCGGTGAATGAGGAAAAGATAAAAGAACCGGTAGATAAAGAAAGTACCGTGGACATGTGTCTAATGCAAAAACAATTGAAAAGTCTTTCAATGCGAGTGCGGGATCTGAACTGTCAGGTTGAAGTAAGTCCGTCGCATCTGACTCGTAAGTCTGTTATTTTACTAAAGGTTGTGTCGTTCGGAGCTACGTTTTACAATAATGCTAACAATATTATTGATGTGTTCACCTTGGGGGCTGCAAATTGTGATATACTTTTTAAAAACAACTGACGCCAAGTGAACGCGTTGTCAATGCAATCAGTATAGCACAAACAAATCAAACTGTTTCTGGGCGGCCTTTAAAACAGTTCTGTTCGCATACACACTGACTTCACAAGAGAATTTTTCGGTGGGTTAACAGTTCAGCGCAAAACATTTGTCACGAAAAGCATTCACCTCTGTACTCGTCAATATTTGTTGAAAACATGTAGTTGAACACCTCACCTGAGATGACGATCAGCAGTGCATTGTTTGTGCCTTTACATATTGATTTAAAACCGTTCCAAATTGTTTACTTTTGGCATATCACAATCTATCTGTCTATGCTAGTTAAAACAAGCCTCAAATTGAATTCCAGAATGACCGTTTTGTGATATTTTCGTACAAAACGGCATATATCAAAGTTTTTGGAAAGATTAGCTGGCAATTTTTCTCTAATCTATTTTTCAAAAATTAGTTTAGTTTACTCCGTAACATAATTTAGTAACTTTGAATATGGATGCTTTAAAAACGGGACAAATGAGCCAGAAATGTTTCGTAGAACCGGACATCTTCCGGTTTGATCGAAGCCATTTTTTAATAGTCCTGCATAATCTTCTAATTTCAAACCATCAACGAACCTGTGGTAAACTAATTACTCGCTAATTCATTGATTAGTCACGATTTTGGTTTTCATTTGTTTTTTACATTTTCTTGTGGACATCATCCGAAGTTGGCGCATGCGTGGATCGGAGATTGGTTTGCTCTTCTGAGTGTGCGCGTTTGTGCTTGTAGGAGCAGATGGTCAAGGTCCCCTCCTTGAAACAGTGCTTAGAGATAATCCACTGTCTAGCTCATGCGATAGGCATATCAACGGGATGTACTTCTTCCACGATAAGCGGCCAAAGCTTTGTCAGTTTTATACATGCATTCTGAATGTGGACGGGGAATGTCAGGAATAGAGTTTCTGAAATATTTCCTAAATTGAACTGAGTGACAGCCAAGTCAAAAAGTAAGATGAAAAAGGGGTTTGGTTTGTTTCAAGACCCCATAATTGACGGCTCGACAAGGGTGGAGCAGTTTGTTTGAATGAAATATTCTATCCATTTTGCTGACGGTTTGCACACACCTAGACACACGTGAAATAGGCAGCTGTTCAGATGGTGAACAATCCAGTTTGTAGGTCGCATTAATTTCTTAAAGACTGATTCTTATCTGACAAACTGTGTACAGTTTATTTCCGCATAAAGCGTGCTTAATGAAAGATTACTCACTGGAATGCAGACGCACTCATTTACAAAAGTTTGTCATGATGTCGTAATACAATGTCTGTTTGACTTTTTTCTACTTTTGACTCCCCTTACTCCCCAACTCTTGATCTGCCGTAAATATACTGCTGATGTCTCCCGTCAGACATTTTCTTTTTTGAGCTGGATCGGACTGATACAGGAGCCTAACACAAATCAAATGTCCGTCCCGGGTATACGTGCTCCACCGGCCAATCCCAAATTGTATCTCACTCGACGGCCGGATAGTGATGCTCGGGAGACTGCAAGAGAATACAAACGTCTGTGGTGAGTTTATTCTGTCAGCTAGTGACTGTATTTGTTTACGTAAGATAAACTAATACTGAGTGTATGATAATATCGGAACGGTGATTTGGGGCTCTACTATTTGAATTGATCGAGGTTTGAAAGAAACTTTTGGTTTGAATGGTTGGTCTGTTTCGGTACACTTATACATTGTAGTATTTATACTCAATCTTATATTCTATTGGAAAATTTAGGAGATCGAGGGAATAAGGACTTCATCGGACGCAGCGCTTCTATCGTTGTATGCTTCCTTGCGCTTCAAATAATTCAAAATGAAAATTGTAAACGCGAACAGCCTAAAACGATTTCCGTATACAGTTTTGTCTTCAATTTTGAACAAAATAGGAGCTTCTCTCGTCGTTACTCATGGCTGCAGCTTGAACAAATGTGGTCGAAGGTAAATGTATCGGATTTACGACCGGAAATGGATTAATATGGGAGAACGCCCCTTTGTCTAAACCAATAGAACACAAGTTTGGTAATCTAAGCGTGATAGGCAGTGAGACAAAACAGTTAAAATAGATTAGGTACCACAAGTACTGAGCAACCAGATCCCCGGGGTAGAACTGATCAAGCCGCACAAAACAAAGAGTCGAGAAACGAGGTTGTCGAAAGTGTCTAAAGCGAGAAATTCTTGGGTTTGTATGGACAACCTACTTTAAAAATGAAGCACCCAACACCGAAAACAGTCTTACTCACGGATTGCCCTTGGACTGATTAGGAAGTTTGCCGAAATATGACTTGCGAGCGGGTCAAACTCTGCAGACAGACAGTCACCCGCACATACGGGTGACGCATGATAAATTCAGGGGTAAGGTCAAGCACAATATGATAAGGTGGATGTAAGTCATAAGGCTGGTCTCAAGGGCGTGTGAGAGGACGATCCCAGAGTGATCCAAAAGGTCACCAGACAACGAGGTGGCTAGGCATGTGATTTATATTTTAATTTCATCTATCGATCCCACTGGCGTATTTTCAGTCAACAATCAAAACCGGACACCAAGCATATAATTCGTACACAGGAGTGACACCCGAGGATTTCAGTCATTTCATGCAAACCTAAATGCTCAGCCAGAATTCTCACAATGTCAACGAGTCTGATCAGTGTAAACTGCATACGATATTCGATATTACATGCGGAAGCGAGTTCAGCATGATTTTGCAACACAACATAAATCGGAATCATTGCTATTTCAGTTGGGTGGATGTTTTCGGCTACCATTTTATTACTTCAAGTACAAACACTCTACTGACGTGAGACGGTTGGGGTGTGGTAGCAAACTTCCAAAAGTAATAAAGAATTGTCGACATGTTTTATGTATCCAGAATAAAGTGTTTCTCAACACATCTTTGAAATATCCGAGGTCAGATAATAGATTGCCGGCAGTGGATTTTGGATGTGCAGTTATTAATACTGACAACATCAAAAGTAAAAGCATATACCCGTCGCCCTCCCTCTAATATATCCAAGATTTTAGACTTGGAATAGGTTGACCGGGCAAAAAGAAATACAGAATACTGTACGCAGTCTCGAAAAGGAATAATGTCACTGTTTTAAGTGGTTTCATGAATGTTACTAAAATAGGTATGCCAGTGTTTCATCAAACCTCTTATTAGGAAAAGCAACTGTTGATACACATAATATGAGGTGTTAGGGATCTCACTATGTAGTGTAAACCCTGAAGGTAAAGGTTTGATGACGGTATTTTTGTAACGCTAACCTAAGTATTATCCTCGGAGGTGAACGTTACACGACCACGTGAGCTTTGGACGACAGGACTGGTTGGAATTCCGCATTACGGTATGTAACATGATGACGGTTTCGCGAATAAAGTGATATTGAGTGAAGTACAACCTCATTGACTGCAGTATTTCTATTGGAATTTGAATACAGTCTGTCGAACATCTCGGTGATCGGCCTGCAAAAACCTTCCAAAACCTTGGGATACTGTAGCCATGTATTCTATGCTAAAGTGGTATACTTTGTGGTCATAGATGCTTGGAAAATGCATTGGTTGAGGTGCCTTAGAGCTATGAACAACGAGTTTAAACAGTGATCGCCCTCTGAGGAGGTATGCGATTCACATTTTGTGGCACCTTGCAATAACTGCACGTTCCCATGCATTAAAAAGAACATATAGTTAGAACGACAACTGACAGGCAGGGTTGAATGTTTCCAAAAATGCTGCTGAGCCCTTAGGATTTGTCGCCATATAGCAGGTTTTAAAGTCGTCTGTAAGCAGTATCATTCCCCCAGATAAATTTGGTGAACACGAGAAAACACAAAAAAGCAGGGATCCCGATGAAAACCCACTGGCAGCGTTGGTGAGACCAGTTCTTTGAGCCATTACCAGAAATTTCATAGTAGGTTATCCAAGACAGTTTGCAATCCAACCAAGAAAGAGTTTCAGGATATATGTAGGGTTTACGTAAACGACGAAATGCTTTCGAAAAGTCTATATTCGTTGCATCCTTCTAGTCAGTCACCTTTATTTGTCGCTTTGTAGTCAGACCCTGTATGGGAATAAGTTTCTGTTCAAAGCCCGTGGATTTGAGAGAACAATACAGAAAATAAATTGTTTCACGGAAATTGTTGGGCATCGGCAGTTAGCAAATTCACATTGGCTTGGTTTGCTTACTCTATGACCAGTACCATTCTCCAGTGTACGCTTGATTGTTTACCAGCTTTCATGTTAAGCAAAAAGCATACTCGTCGGTTTTTAGATATTTCAATTCATCAGATCGCGTTATGCAAAAATGATCTTGTGCTTCCTTATATTCTATTGTTCTATCTCTGGGATAGGTACCCAGAAGGGTATTTGCTGTTCACCTGGATTTTTATCACTCTGGAAATCGTATTTACTTAGCTGGTATAGACCGATCATCAAATTGCTTCCATTTCTTTGGAACTGATTGTAGTGTATTGCCTGAAAATCTTGTTAAAATGCTAAAAACGCCCTAACCTTTTTTCAGAAAAATGATCAAAACAAATGTTGGTAAAACGTTTGTCGGTTTTCAAAAGTAAACTTTGTAGTTCGAATGGAACATTTACTCTATTGACCGGATTTTCACAAGAAATGAGTTTTCCTTTAGAATGATGTACACCCTTGAATAACCTGGGAGGCAAACTGGATACATTTGCGGATGCACGTGCGTGTGCGCGTGTAAATCTAATTTATTCCGTTCAACTTGTGTTTGGATACGGTGTGGGAGAGGAAGAGGCGGGGCCCGTATGTTATCAGATAAGAGTTTGTCGAAAATATTCAGACCAGCGTCATCGATATATTTTTCTGCATATGCAAAACATCCGAGTTCCCAGACAAAAGTGAACAGATTGATGAATCACACTTAGAGATCATGCCGAAGCTATCCGGAGTCGTTCTCTAGCGGATCGGAACAAAATCGTAGGTGCGAAGTTGAGATACACAGTTAAATACCGCCAGAAATTCGGCTAAATAACCTTTTATGTTACTTATCAGCTTCGTGAGTGTGATAAGGGATAACTTTCTCGCAAAATGCCAATCTACTTTAGCCAAGTCAAGAATGCATGTTATTCATCCAACGTGGACAGAATTCTCAGTGAAAAAATATCATCAATTTTGCATTGGCATACACGCTAATAAAATGAGTTTAAGGTATAACAAATAGTATGCAGACGATAACTTGTAGCAAATGTAGAAAATTGCAGCATGAAAATATATACATGAGACTGTGTATACGTTCGTTTGATATTCGTTCCCTGGAAAGCAACAAACACGAAAGGTAAGGTACAATGGAATTGTGAAAAGCTGTGATACAAGTGTATACATATTTATATGTTTTGCGGGTGACAGAAGTTGAAATGCAATTTGCGTAATTTGCTTGATGCTTCGGTAATTTTACATACGAATCACACGTTCGTTTTTGCAATTAGGATTTATATGCGATGAAACACACGGAACCATTTTGATGGGCCTATTCTACCCAGCGCTTTTGAGGCTTTCGGAACAAACTTCAACGGACAGCAAAAGCCCTTTGAAGGAATTGCACAATTATCCCGTTTATGAACAAAGAAACAACATTAGTTATTAACATGTTGCTGATGACATTTTGAAGGGGTACATTTTTGTGGAGAAGTATATCCCATGTAGCGTACTATGTAAAAATTGAACGAACGTTTGTTAAAATTCCGTTGCTGGCAGCTATCCACAATGCAATCTGCAGAATATTTCAAACGAGCAGTTCAGTGTAGAAGTCTAAAGATTTGACGGAGTTCGTACAAGTGAGTCAAGAATGATCATTTGTGTAAAGCAATACGTTCAAACGGGATCTTTGATTTTTGATTTTTCATCTCGAAACAAGTGAAGAAAGATACAGCACTTATTTTACTCTTGTCAATGTGAGGAGTCAACCAAAGGCATTCTTGAGAGCAACGATGAATATCGGAAAACATTTGAGTAATTTAAATACATCAAGTTTATTCTCAAACGCAATATCACGAAGTTAGGTTTTTTCCTAAGCGCACACAACAAATGAGTTGGTAGATCCGGCGTAAAATACTTGGTAAAAAGTTAATTGATGAATTAGAAAAGCCGAGAACAATTTTGGGTATCGAAAGAAATATTTCACGTGGAGTTTCCAGATCCTACGAACCAATGTGTTTCAAATACCCGTAAGATGGTAAAGCCTTTCTGAAGTGGTGTGGTAAAATGATGGTATCATAATTATGCATGGCTTTCAGACACCCATAAAAGACGTAGTTTCACGCGATAAATCAATTTTATTTCGTTCATCAAAAGCCTAAGCTTATATGAATTGAGTCGCAGAACTTTGACTTTTATGCCAATAATTTGTTTTCCAATTAGACAGAAATCCTATTTAAAGACCAATGATAACAAGCAAATGCAAGTGTTTTTGAGATACAAAACAGGAATAATAGGCAGCTTCCCTTTTTCACAATGAATTATGTTCTCCTATCAGGCATAAAAACGTGAGGGGAGAAGCACCATATGGCTGTATCGACTTTATTGGGTCTCAGTGGTAGTACGGAGTCATCGACTCAACTGACGATTGGACTCTCCAGGTGTCCTTATTCTCTGGAAGATCCAAAACGAACAGCTCACTGAATAAAAAAACATTGGACTTGCGGTGGGGATGCTTTCAGTATGTGAAACGCAATGAACTTGCAATTCTTTTCACCAAATGACCATTCACGGTATCGCAAAAATGTGGGTAAAGTCATCAAACGTATCATTAACTTAAGTGTTTCCATTTACTTCTGTTGGCAAACTGCAAGTTCATCACTTATTCTTTCTCACACTTCGGTAAACTTTATTCTCCACGTCGTTCTTGTTTTGTACCGCGTTGCCTGTGTGCAACCGCTTTTCTATCCACCCTAACCCACCCTCGGTACCTCCAAACAAAGCGAGCACCCGATTTCCGATCCAGTACGATTGGATCTGAGACGAGCTACATTTAATAACTGGCCATGGAGTGATTCTTGGCTCATCCGGTTCGTGCGTCAAATGTTTGTTGATTTGGGATTCGTGGAGGAATTCGCATTGCCCATGAAACGCCTGGATTTGTGGCTGTGTGATATCTATCGGAGATATAATCGAGTTCCTTTTCACAACTATAAGCATGCATTCATGGTCACGCAGATGGTGAGTTACTGTCCTGATGGTTTATTCGAAAATTTATGTTTACGGTCTGGGCGTGGCAATGCACCTTACGAAAGCCGATTGAGTGTCATTCCTAATTAATAATTCAAACTACTACTCAAATGGAATGAATAAAATGCTACTTCTGTTAGATAACTGGAGGATAAGATACTCTGAAACGTTTATGGTCACGGATCAATACTGGAATATCCTTATCGCCATTCACTCATTCAGTTATTACGCTTAAAAAAGCGTTGAACAAACAGCCACGAGAATTATTACGTTTTTAGGAGTAAAGACCTGTTTGAAAGTGGTGCCTATGTGATTGAGGCTGTACCCGTGTGGGCAAGTATGAACCAATTTTGCTTTAACAGTACTGCTCCTGAACATACTCACAGAAGAAACCTCGCAGGTTTCCTACTGGACGTACCACCACAAGCGGTTATTTATTCGTTAATGGACAAAGCAAATGACTCAGAATAAACATGATTAAACATTTTCCTACCGTTTATTATACCTTGGTAAATGCTCATAAGCCACTGGTGTGTGTGGTAGCCATCGACGACTTTTGGTGGCGACTGATAGTCGTTCAGTAGCCCTTGGTTGTATTTTTCGCACCATCGGCTTAGGGGAGAATAAATGCACCTTTTTGGCACACCCATAATACAGAGAGACCATGATTGGGAAAACGATACTGCATTCAGCAAACAGCTATTTGCTTGAGTTATACTAGGTTACCAAGCACCGTCGATGAATCAAAATTTAAGATGTGATGCGATATGGGTGTGCCGCAAAGGGGTGTTTAATCTCTCCTTGGCCGTGTATGCTAATCATCGGCCTGCGGCTAATAAAAGATCGTCAGTGTTTACTACCAGATCACCAATGACCATCAAAAGATCTTGAGCGAACAATAAGTAAACAAAGAAATCACATGGTAACTGAATGTCGTTGAACCTATCAGTCTAATGAACATTGTTAAAGTTTCTGTCATTTGGTATATTTATGCCATTAGTATCACCGACATTGTACCATTTCTCTGCAGTTTTACGGATCTGGTGCAAACGGGCTCAGACTTTTCTTGAAGTGCTTTACTATAAGCTTTATTCACAGGCACAATAGAGAAGTTTGCCCTATTCACGGAGTTGACTAATTGGGAATAACCAGTCGCAATAAAAAATTCATCAACATTGTCTTTCACGGTTCTCTTCTCTCTCACCTACCCTTTTCCCCAATTTTTGAATAAAATATTGATCACTAACATTTCGCTGAATTTTCCAAACCTCTGCTTCTTTTTTTACAATTAAACAAAAATGTTTTAGGGAATTTAAAATCGACATGAAATCATTGATCACAGTTTGCTTGTGAGTTGTTGTCTCATTTTGTGATGAGATGAAAGACATTTATATAAACTGTTTTCCTTGTACAACTTCCGGAATTAGGCATTAAGTAAGGAGACTTTAGAATGAAAGGAATACATTTTACTTGGACTACGTGAACCCCTTAACTTAAACTTACCTTGTTAGTCTCTTGCTTCAACTTAGCTTGTACCTTTTGTGATGGCATTTTGCACTTACCGAAATGACATAGTGTGGTACTACGTTTCTTATGTTTCTTGGTGTTCGCATATTCTTCCTTCATTTTGTCAGTGCTACGCTTTGCTCTGGGGCGCAAAACTCACAGAAAGCCTTACTAAAGAAGATCAACTCACTCTACTGGTTTCCGCTATTTGTCATGATCTGGATCATCCAGGATTCAACAACGCCTACCAGGTATGTGGTTTGCTTGATCGAAAAGCCCTGATGGACACACCCTTTGCACATAGACATGCGATGGAAATGAAACGTGTTTATGTGTGTACTTCGTAGGCGGCCTGATTGAATGGTCAGGGTTAACTTTTTTTCTGTAGCACTAAATGGCAATACACAATACGGAAAGATAAACGGTATTACTATGAGTGTTCTGCCGTGTACGGTTTGCCGTGAGCACTGCCAACTTAAAACTGTTCGCCTGGACCGAGTCAATATTCAAGAAAACCACTGAAAGCAAATCTTCAAGAAACTGACGAAAATCTTTTCGATTCATTCTCAAAAAGGCGTATTTACTAGGAATGAAACCATTATTTTCATCACGACTGTACTTCTCATAGGGAGGGAGAGAGGAACCTTGTACACAGCGATATTATTCATTTGCACAGTTCACTCGAGTGTATGCAGAGATTACGTAGAGGCATTTGCCCACGATCATTGCGGATAACCAAAGGCAATCATCTTATGGGTTCCAGTCCATAAAGATATGCTTTGCTGATGACTTTTAACCAAGAAGTGAGAGGTGTCGAGTGTTTTCAAGGCTTCTCGCAGGAATTTCAAACTTCCTATGCTGATGAGGTATCTACTTCGCACGACAAAACTTCTACATATATGATCAAATATTAATATACGGTGGTATTTATGCGTTGCATCAAATTTGAAACCAATCGCGCAATATTCGGTATCTTCGAAAACTAAATATTGAAAAGTTTGATTTAAAAGCCTTAAGTTGACATTCTTTTTAAACCGATGGCCATTACGTTTTATACCGAACATATGTGATCAGTAGCATTATACAGTAAGAGATATTGTTCTTATTTCAATCTCTGTCATCAAATATCGGCGCCAATATATATATATTTCAAAAGATTTAAATTGAACATTTCTCATTTACTTCGGCATAATTCACCAGACTTTCGACTGCCAAAATTCGTGCGTACTGTGATTTTTTAAATATGCATCTGTTAGAACAGCATCATTTCAGCTGATTGACAAACAATATTTGCATCATACAGTGTTGAAGTGAAACAAGCTATTAACTATGAGCCAAAACAGGCCACACTCAGACAAAATGAGTAAGTAAAGAATCGTCCACTAGGCTTTCCGGAGGGGTTGAAATGGTCTCCGGGCCTAACCAATTGAAATCGTCTCCTTTTGGTGCGAACACTGCAAACATATAAGCCTTCTGATTTAATTAGTTCAACAATACATTTTCAAGCTGATTTTTTAAGTTAAAAAATTGCGTTTATGGAAAGAACAAAATAATGTTTTTGTTTGCTTGCCGATAAACTAGACAGTCATATATGACACTTGTGCACTTTTTGGTAATAATTCATGATAGAATTTGGGAGACTAATATGGAGAGAAAAATTGCTGTTGAGCTGATCAAGTAAGCTTGCAGACATAGTTAAAAATGCATGCGTACCCACTCCACCGAAAACGACAGGAAGTACTCACACCGAAACACTGAGAGAAAATGAACGGCTGTTTAAATCTCATTAGTAGCACCAGCCTNCAGTTAATCTGCCAATAATGCACTCCCACCTATATTTAATAATTATTTCGAAAAATATGTGTATATTATATGTTTATGCATTTTCCTTCAATAGCTGTAGGAGATTGTAATAATAAAAATGTGTTCCAAAAGGATGAGCAATTCGGCCACTGTGTCGAACAGTTTGGTAGGTAATTTGTTGGAAATGATTGAAATATATATGTGTGATTGGTATAACTATCGAAACCACAACTTCGGCGTATTGGCATACCAATTAATAAACAGCCGCATGCTCTGTTTGTGTCAATACAGATTTTTAATTGTTCTCTTCTATGCAATTGTATTTTACGGCTGATAAGACCACTGAATTGCAATTAAGCAAATTAAACAGATTAAAACGTTTTGTAGTTCATCTACACAAATTATATTTCACAGAGCATTTAAAGGACAGGAGCCTAAAGTTCATTCCACTGGGCACCGATGACTACACAATTAACTTACATAAATGACTAAGTTTTACTAAAAAGTGAAAGATGTGGGTAGTTCAGACGCTCCATGATTCATCGAAATTTTGAATTTTGCCTTGCAGGATAACAAGAGCGATTCCATTAACTACATGCTTACGTGTCGAGTACAGGTTGGCCAGGTGGATAGAGTTCCATGTTTATAGTCCGTATTTGACTAAATATGGGTAAATGACATCCATGATTTTGCAGTAGCTGAAAATCGTTGATGTTATTGGTATAGAGGTGGTGGAACGATAAACTTAAGCATTACGACAATAAAATGAGTAACGTAAACATACGGACTAACGTTTTACTAATAATAAATCGAGGGAAATCAAAGTTCGTATGGTACCCTATGTGTGCTCGAATTTCACTCCGTCAATATATACCAGTAAAACAGAACTGCAGTTTTCTTCAATGTAGTACTTAGGCAGCGTAGCTTTGAACCGATTTCTCGACACTGTCATATCCATATTATATTCACGATTTACTTTTTCCCCCATTGTTAAAATTATTCCCGTACTCATTTATGTATTTCCGGCACTCACGCTCATTCGGGGCATGTTTTCACACCTTTATTTTTTTCTCAGCTGGGTCAGCCATTTTCCTAATCATTGGTGAAAGTGAAACCAAAAAGTAATCCGGTTTATTGCCGTTTTAAAATCATGAATGTCTGTCAGAACGTCTGATTGAGAAACAATCAGTTTATAAGAACCAGTCTCTAAGAATTAGTTTTTCGAATTTATTGATCGTTTGGAGAGTATTTTGGTGGAATAAAATAAACGTGTCCTTGTCGGATTTTACGGGATTACATGGCAGGAAAGTGAAACTTCTGGTCACTAATGAACCTTCATGATTGATCAGTGCATAAGAAATGATTTCTTTGACCCGGTTGAATAGGTTCACTTCCAGTTGGTTTCTTTTGTGAACAGTATCACGAAATATGCATTGAAATACGTGCTGTCGCTTCTGGCTCCCAATGATATGTTCAATTTGAACGTTTTAAACCCTTCACTCCCATTTATGCATTAACTCTCATACTGAATATCGTGTTGGGGTACGGGAGTCTGGCAAACTACTTCGCTTCATCGAACACTGATCTGAAACCTTGATTCTTTTTATAGATTACCTTTTCACCATGCAAAATCGTCATTCGGTTTCCTGAAATCTGATAGTTTAATATCGCATCTATTGACACTGCACGTTTGAGACTGATTTTGACCAATTTAATACCGTGATATCATATCACTTTACAATGAGCAGTTTCATGCATCGCTTTTATACAGCATAAACCCATTAAGCTGTGTTCGTAGATATTGAAATACCGAACCCGTTTTTCCTATAGGATCTATTCCATATTTAATTGCACGATCTACTAAATCATTCGAAAATTTCTCAATCGATTGACAGAACCGCTTTTATGTTTACAGTGTTACAGTCACGTATTGGAAAATTGCAAAAGATTCATATTCACAAGCGGAAGAAACGCCTCACTGATTCCGATCGGTTTCCGTTGCGAAATGAATCCCAGACGACAAATGCTCAAGGTTCAGAAAGCGGTGACGAACCGCTGATAGGGTCCAAATCCTTCATCCAAAATGACACATACAAACAGAATAAAGACTGTCAGGGTGGACTTCTTGAATGAATAAGAATTTGATAAAACCCGTGCACAGCCGGATATGTTCACCGTGATTCACTTCATAACCTCTGATGAAGGGTCAAATGTCCTACTTCCATTTATTCAGTACATTTTAAGCCAACAGAGATATGCTGAATGAAGCGGAGAAAGAAAGATCGGACGATGATCTGAAACAGAATCAGCAACCCATTCCGTGATTTTTAAGTCTAAAGTGAAGGTCAATGAGCCCAATTTGGAAAACGTTCGGTTCAGTGCGTCAGCGAATAACACAGTGGGTATTGATGAATACAGCATTCGTTTATTCGCCTTTAGACTGGAGCTACATCGTATCGTCTGATATCTGTTGAACAATAAAAACAGAAGGGTTGTCGTTAGGTAAACGGATTGATTTGAAAGTAACCTGGCCTTTGATTCGCCCCAAAGATCGTCGATCATGACTCAGTGACATTCCTGGCTTTCTATCAGCACTGCACCTGTGGTAGACGTAATAAAATATCACTGTCATTTGTGCATCTCTGCATCTGTGTGCGTGTGTGCGCATATGCATCCGTTTTCTTGTGTGTAAGTGTGCTCATAGCACTAAACATCTGCTGGGCTCGGATTACAGAACCCACAATCGTATCAGTTGTGAAACAATTTTCCAATCTTTTCCAATTTTAAAATAATGCATGGAAAGGGTCAATATGAGCAAGTAATCTTCTAAGTTTGTCTCGCTCCGGTAAGACACAGATCGCTACTGAAGGTGTTTTATAGGCAAGTCCGCATTTTGTAATCAATCAAACCCGTTTTATCAACTGCGGTGAGAAGCTCCGAATCTGTGAAATAAAACAGTTGAGAAGCCTTTGGATGGCTTTCTTAGAAAAGATCCTCATTAAACCAAGATGACATGACTTAACAAGAGGGGTTTCACATTGGTGCCAGATTGTTTGTGAACCTGACTTCAAAGTCTAAACGTTTTGGGGTTCACTTGGAGTCACTGTGCTTGTTCTAATCCCTATCCAAGTTGTATGAAAATGCAGTTGTAAACGTTTTACGGTTCAATCCAAAAGTGTATCGGCATAAAAATATTATTGTTCGCATACAGTGCTACGATTTCCATATATTCCTCTTTACTACAACAGTCGAAACACGGTACAACAACCCTAACCTAAGTTGAATAATTTATTGCGGTTGGAAACTTATTTGAAACTTTTGAAACATATCATTAGGCATTCAGCGCGTTCAGAAAATTCAAACAATACTGGAATTACTCCGAATGATGACTGTCAGTATATTGGCGAATAAAGCGGAACGGTCTCATAAACTTCGAATATCTTATTCTCCACCAATGTTTAGCTCCCAAAGTTGAACTTGGAATAATCACGTTGATACTTTCGTGGGCTTCTGGGTAAGCCATAAATGCTCACGACTCAAGAAGTTGGGTGGTATATGCGGCCGCAATTGGGGCACTCTTATGTGACGACCTCTGCGGATTATGGGAGAGCTTAATTAATTTTAGTCCTTCTTTGTCACGTCCACACGGATACAGCATAAAAAACCATAAACGTTAAGCGTGTTTGTCCACCCACGAAATTGAGTTGTTTCTCCTGTTGTGGCAGAGGAATGAATTTGAAGAAGTGGAGAATGTGATAAGCTGACTTGATCAGATCATTAGCTACGTGGATTTTCAGGACCATGTTATTCCTCCTTCAACACCAGTAAGTTTAATGAATCTAATCTGATTGTAAGGGAACACAGATATTTACTCAAAAGTTCAAATAACCTGATAAAATTTATTCTCTGAATGAGCGATTTAACAGATGGAAGCGATAGAACTTTGAAAGTGGTTGTGTGATATAATGGAGTTTTGTGTATTATTCGATTCTGTGTATACGTTTCGAGAAAAAGAGGTTCGTATTTGCTCCTAACCTTGTTTGGGTGCACGAACTTTACAAACCCAACCCCGTTTACCCTAAACATAAATAAGACGGTTTCACCGGAATGGAAAAGTATCTAAATGCTGTTTCTTGTATTCAGTTGACAAAGCTTTGAATGAAGACTGACTCTTTGAGAAATAATTTAAGCGATTAGCGCAGTTCTGCTTTTCAAAACGATGAATTCAAATCATCTTGTTCGAATACTTATTGTTTCTGATCGGTGTAATTGGCAAGCAAGTTTCAACCCCCGGACAATACAAAAATGAACTGCGTTCTTTAGTTATGACGTTCATCAAATCTGATTTCACCATGTTCCATCCAGGGTTCTGCATTTGTTCCCACAATACAATCATTTTTTAAACAGTANTAGTTCACTCTGTGCAAACGCCTCCTCCTTTGCCTACTATTCAGTAGGACTACGGTCACTGGACAAAGTTCCCGTCTGCCCTGGATGAATAACCATCCAGTCTGTTCCAATATGTATGTTGATTGAGATGCACTAAGAGGAAAACTGGGGAACACTAATAAATTATTCCATCTCTTTTGACTACCATCGCCTGAAGATCGATCAAACTCAACTAAAGACCAACCTTCCTATTGAGGAGATTTCACTGTCCTTAACATTTCGCTATTTGTCNTCGTTTATAACTAATCTTTCAGAAAACTATCCCTGTAATCATATTACTTGATTCGTAAACCGCAATGAAATCGTTATCCAAAATATACGCTTCCACAATGAGTTATTTCAGGATTTTACCCGAGGAATTGATATAACTGAAAGACAATGGCACTTAGCCAAGTGCTCATTCAAACGCCTGAATCAGTTAATGATTTTGTTTGAACTCAGCGGCCTTAATCGCACTGAACAACAGCTGAAGCTACGTTGATTTTTGTTGACCGGAGTGACTCGTTATTGAAATGTCAACCAATCAACGTTTAAAACATTTCATTTATAATTTCAACCCTTTGATTGATCACTTCCGACTTTCTGAAAATTTTCCGCATCAATATATATGTATTCAATAAGGGGAATTTAAAACAAAAGTAAGATTATTTATTCCGTATTTACTTTGTACACGGTAAGTTTCAAAATTCTGAGTAGTACAACTATTGGCGCTTGGTACTTGTTTTCATTGTTCCTTCACCAAATACCATACCTTCAATTTAAACTTCTCTTTTGGCAGATTAATGCAGGGACGGAGCTTGCTATGCGGTACAATGACCAAAGCCCGTTGGAGAACCACCATTGCGCTACCGCATTTGACATCCTGAGCCACTGCGAGGCCAACCCGTTTGAGCATTTAGATTTTGATACAATGAAAAAAATTCGTGAGGGTGTAATCAGGTACGTTTGGTGGATCTATTTCGACTAACTTTCTATGCAACGCACTAATTTTAATTGTTTCCGCCTTTAAACTTTTCAGCCACCTGCTATAGATCACATTTTATTCACAGTTCACGATCAGTTGAAAGGGTAATCCTCTTAGAGATATATCGTTAGACGATCACGGTTGAAGGTTAAAACAGTTTCAATTCAGTGCGTTTTTAGATTTGAAGGTGACAGAAGTGTGAACGAAATCGACCAAACACGACGAGAAATAAGCAGACTAATGGAAGCGTTGAGCAAGCTCAACCGAAATGAAAAATGCAGTTGTCACTGATAAGGGAATGTCTGTTTCACATGAATGATCTGCACAGCAGCGGCAGGGAGAAAGTCACATTTAATTATGGAAAAACCTCGATGATTTGTTTAACACTTGCATCGTATTCTGATTGTAAGTGTTCAAACTGAACCCGGAGGAAGGAGAACTGCGAGACTCTGTAGTTGAATAAATTTGAGCAAATAGAAAAGTGCTTGACGTTCACTGTTTTATTAAAACTGTGAAATAGAGGAAAGGTACAGAGTACTACTTATCCTAAAAATGGTAGAAGTTAACTCAGTACCAATGCTCAAATAAAAGACATTGATTTCACCTTGTAATCTTATCAGCGTCCAAAGCGCCAGTCAAGAGCAAACAGGCTTCAGTTCCAGCAACAAGTTATTTTATATTTCATGCTGCAGAGAATCTGTCCTCAGTGATCTAACCAATGTGCGTCGAAACACATGTCACAATTTCTTGTCAAGCATAAGAAGCAACACGAATAGAGGATGTACTGAGCTCAGATTTTTTCGTGGGAATCGCATCAGCTGTGCAGATGCATTCAAATCACCCTCGGGTGAAAAAGTGACAGGTTTCAAAATAAACGAATGCGTATAGAGAGTAGTTGTGACAATGTGACAGCCCTAGAGACATCTTTTGTGTCTTAATTTTCAAGAAGCGTAGCCACTTACTACGGTTTGTTACCGTTTCACGTAAAAATAGACTTTGTAAACAAATTGAATTAGAGGGCAGCATCCTGATGCCAATGGTGAGTGTGGTTGTTCCCCAGCGTAGTGACTGCTCTCCCTGTACTCCATTCGCTTCGACTTTTCTGAAATTTGTCTTCATTGGATTTCCCTCCTTGTGTATAGCCCCCTGTTACCAAGCTTTTGTCTATTTCAATCGAAGGTGATCTGAGTGTATGTATACAGATAGTGGGATCAAAACGTAACACATCCTATGATCATGGCGATCTCCATTGCTCACTTGAAATTTAGCGAAGGAAACTGGTAACAAGAAAATACTAGAAACGAATAAATCTTTCGAGGTGGTTTGATGTAGTCTGTGTTTTTTGTCAAAGAGAACAACAATTCTGTTTGTAATCTGTTATTCATTGCACTTTACATAAACCATATAGAAGAACTGTCCCCGGACTTTAAGCGTGTTTTCCTAGAACTATTCAAAAGGTACATATTGCAACTGATTTGAGTGACTGCATGAATACACAATGGGTATGCCATCATCCAGTGAGGAGGATCGATACTAGTTTAAACGGATCTGGTTGTTTTGTCACACAGCATTTGGAACATTTCTTTTTTTTCTTTTTATTACACTTTCTTTTACGAAATACAAAAAGATGAAAACTTCATGAGGGGAAAGCGGTCAATCAAAGGGCTCTCATTCAACACACGATGGGAAAATCAAGGCAGTGGTAGTGAGTTTCGAACGCACGTCCACGGGGTAACAAGTTGATGCCATTACCACCGGCCCACCACCGTCCGCTTCGTAACTCCCGTCAAATGGAGCATCATATAGATCCCAAAAGATTACAAGAAAATTCGCACCTGCTGGTTCTGAAAAAAGACAAACATCAAGGATTAGTTGCCCTAATATAAAGTAAAATATCCCCAGAATAATGAGCAAATTCAAATACCAATTTAAAAGAACATGTCCGGACAACATCGAATTGATTGAGAAACAGATTACGCTTGAGTTACGCATTCTCGTTTTGCCGAGGGTTCTCCACAAAACATGAGTTAAAAAGTTTTATAGTGGCTGGCTCTTCATTGCATATGGTCTTGCTAATTGACTCTCCCTTGCAAGAACCAGCTATTTGGCTGACTCGTGTGCTCCATAAAATGTTGTTCTCTTACACACCGGGTGATTCCGTCAAATTTTATGAACTACCAAGGGGGGTATATCGGTGTGAGAAAACCCTAAACCACAGCTTACTTATCAACTTTACCTGAACACGATAACAGGAACTTCAATAACTATTTTAGTTCGGTTAGTAATTTTCCGATTCCCATACTATCAGATAGTTTGACATCCGATATTTTATTGTAAACGGAAAATATACGTTTTCCTTTACTTGGGAAGTCATTCAGAGATGTTGGAAACGTAACTGTTGGGATCTTTCTACGGACTGTCATACTGGACATTTTCACGGGTATGACTTGAATAAGGTCAGATCTAATACAAAAAAATCACCAGTTTATAAAATATATATCGTTAACATATTATTGTGGATCAAAAGAAGATGCTGAAAACGCACTACGGCAGTTACATAAATTCCACCCAAATTGGCAATCCATTCACTGACTCCAGAGAAAATATCCTTGTGATTCTTCCGCTCGATGGTGAACAAGAGGACCATCTGGACGGCATCTACATGTTACCAACTTTTTGCTGATAGGATTGGAAAAATGTCTTCTTTGAGCTCTGTTATTCTGCGCCAATTAACATTTATATTGAAAGACCGTTCCAGATCGGGGGTGCTATTATTATTCTGCACCGTGTGAGACAAAAGGGAAGCCTGAATCATTCATTCGTTTCCACAACCATATAAAGTAAACGCACTTTCGGTTGATATAGCTCCAAGACAAACGCCTATGCAAATTGGTGCATTTGCCGTGGGGAACTAAACTGAATGACAATGGATGAACCCAACAACCAAGACCATAAACAGTTCCTGCTACTTACAGAAAAATAATTGAACGGGATAAACCAGAACGCAATTGATTGGACACAAAAAGGACTTCAAAGAAATTATTTTGATGAAACACTGCATGCCTGACCCACTAAACAATAACTCCTGACATCCCCAGTTAAGATTCTAACGCTCACTGCGTTTGCGCATTCTCTTTTAATTGACACAAAACAAAGATCGATATAACCGATAGTATGTTGCATATAAGAATGGCTGAACTTTTCGGGAAAGACGAACTTAGGTTGGTCACTCAGACGGACTAACCAAGCCTAAATGCGACAATTAAGCCGAGAGTACAGATTACTCACTGATTGATTAAAATCGGTCACATGTAGAAGACAAACAATGTGTTCTCACTTATGTTACAATATCGAGATTTGCATCAGTTACGGATATCAGAGGAACCATCCCCTTTAAACCAATGATATGGGTTCGAATACCTACATTAGCACAAACCAATCACTCTTGGTTCTCTTTTAAGTTTAATATCACTGCGGTTGATTGCCGCTTATTATGTTGCTCTATTTTCGCCGAATGGCGCACTTTTGTTTCCGATGACAGTTTAGGAAAATATTTTCTTTCGTGAATTAATGAAGCTCATGATTCCACTCACTCACTCACTCATCAAATTTCATTCCCTTTTAATCTATCCGGATCCAAAATTTAGGTGTATTCTGGCAACTGATATGTCACGGCACAACGAGATCATGAGTCAGTTTAGCAGTGTGGTGCTCAGTGACCTTGACTCTGCGTGGGAAATAGACGAAGAGACTAAGCAACCACTTTGGGCCACGGAAAAAACAAAACGGGATCTGGTAATGATGATTCTGATCAAAGTCTGTGATATTTCCAACGAAGCTCGACCGCTCACAGTGGCTGGTCCTTGGATTGATCGACTGCTGGCCGAATTCTTCCATCAGGTATGTCCGGGGCAGTTCCGCTCTGATCGAACTCAGAAAAATATCATCATCTCTTTGGCGATAATGCACATTATATAAAAGGTACTGTCAACGAGCCTATAATGTTGAGAATAATACCATCTCGCTCAGCTGTTCGGGATCGCAGCATTCATCATTATCATCTGAGCGATTTATGGTGTGATTATAATAGTTTTTCATAAAAGTAATGCCGGTTGTTATATTAATTTTTGCCTCAAAATGTTCTAGGCTTTTTCGTCTGGGGATATCTTATTTTATATACAGAAATCCATACGTTTACAGGAAGAAATTTCATTAATTATTGACACAGTTCATGTATTCGTCTTACGGAATTGGAGTATAAATATTCAAATCTGTGATTCAGATTTGTTATTACTTTAGTTTCTATACGTTCTTTTGATCATGATCTGACGTGTCCAGCAATAAAGATATTTTAATTGAAGATGTATGCCACATGCGCGGAATGCATTGGTAAAACAGTCATTACTGGCGTTCAAGTGATTAGATCATCAAATCTGCCCCTGGAGTTGCTAAGGTAGAAATGATTTTCAACCTTATCCACATGTTTTACGTTTTGTTGTTTTATTTTCCGCTTTTTGAATAAAATTAGCCTAACCTGATACCCATTCTATGAGCATTCGGAAATTCAATTTATTTTTCTGTGCGCAAAACCTTGAGGTTCCTTCACCAGGACTTTTGAACGATTTCTCCTGTGTAATCGTTAAAACAGCCGTTTCTTTTACAACTGTCCTCAACAAACATCATGGCAGAATTCTTAGGAGACTACTTATGGATGAACGTTTACCTGTAAGCGGACCAGCCCTTGAAGTGTAGCGGCTTGACAATGATTCCTAATCGCGAAACAAACCGGTGATAATAGAATACTTATGAATTAGCCGTGGAAACAACACAATGCGAATCTTAATCCCGATGACAAACACAAAAGGAACTGTTTGTTATGAACCCATAGAAGCATGATTCCTTGGATTTCGGTTCACACCTGTTTATTGCCCATTTAGTCCCCAACGGTGTCCGATGGACCGATCGACGAAAGTCGCTCATCTCTTTGGTGCAACATGAACCTTACGACGAAACATCATTTTACCGTTTTATTAGCCCAGGGCAATAAGATATCTGTTTCGGTTGGACGTTTGGTTTCAAATTCACTTGGGTACATATTGTGATATCAAGGACCTGCAAATATTCCACTTCAGTTGAGTCGCCAGACTTGGTAGCAGTGAACAACGAATTAAATAAGGCAGTTGATTCACCGACGAATCGGTAAACTAATGGGTTTGAGCAATGATTATTAATACTTGCTGTTACGTAAGGTTTAGGCATATTCGAATGCAAATGCCCCATTCAGTCAGATTATTTTGTGTATGACCTCCTTAACCTCGTGGAGTTGCTTTCACCTTATCAAACCCCCGTTGGCTAAGGCTCTCAGCCAGGGTTTATTTTCGGGTTCAGTATTCTAATGGAAGCATTCACATAGTATGGTTTGATGGAGTGACAGATCCCGATCAACCGCAGCACGGTATTTGAAGTAGCTAAGAGTGCTACGATATGGGAACTGGCAAAAGGTTCTAGAAAAAGCGATACGCATTTTGGTACAAAAGGCATCCAAATGCGATAAAGAAACTGGATTCGATATCTAGCCTAAAACCGTACAGTGAACACTTGGAACGGTTTCCTGTATCTTATACAAGATGTGAAGTGGTGTAGCTACGAGGTCCTGAACTGATTTCCAGCGTTCGTTCGGCCACACACGGAGTATGCCGTTCAAGTATGGAATCCACGGTTAACCCGCGACAGGAAGACTCTAGAACGTCCGCAGAGGCTGGCAACGAAATTGGTAAAAGGTCTACATAACAAGACATATTTCTGCAAATATTGGGACTCTACTCATCCCAATACCGCCGAATTCGAGGGGACCTAATATTGGCATATCACATACTGCATCAACCCNTGCCAATATCACTCGCTTGCAGTCAGAGTGTGCGGCGCACGGAATTCTCTCCCGTCTGATGTAGTGTGTGCTCCTACAGTTGAACTATTTAAATCGCAACTTGA